CGTCCCGCCCAAGCACTACTTCCTCCGACTCGTCCCGCCCAAGCACTACGTGCCTAAACAACTCGTGAGTCTCTTTCGACACACTCGAGAAATCCGCACAACAGCCCTGGTGTCCTTCGTACTTCAACTTATAATAATCACACATCTCTTGCGTAATACAGCCACTGCGCTTCCGACCGTGCAGGTGAACCGCAACTCCGCCAGTCCGTATCCTTCCCACGCACTGGATGTACTCTGATATATTTGGTCCGTAGTCAAAGATGATCACCATCCTCAAAGCACTCACATCCAGGCCCTGTGATACCAGCTTCGTGCCTATCAGAACCTGTGACCTGTTATCCTCGATGAACAAGTTGGTCCGCTGCACCTTCTGCTCCGTTGTGAGCTTCCCATGCAGGTACGTCGTTCGGAACTCCTCATTCACACTACAGAATAAGGGTTCCACCGCATCTCGCTGCCCTAGAACCACTGCTGCTTTGGCATTGGGGTCGAATTTGAACATCCTTCGCAAATAGATCAGCACCTGGCTCACGCCGTCGTCCTGGAGGGTTTCACGGTGCTTGAACACATGACCCAACGGTGGCTGTTTGATGTAGTTCGAAAGCCGAATTGAGTCGTTGTGCTCCTTCTCTAACGCATCCTTCTCCCTGAGTGTCTTGTTTAGCCCAAGAATTTTGACAGACGACGCAGCAGACCCATTGGCCCCAGTCGCTGTCAGCAACACCACCTTCCAAAACTGTTGGTAGTCAACCTCTTTCAATCGAGCAAATTGCTTTCCACGGAAACTCATCTCATCGCTCAGGTTGTGGAACTCGTCCACTACAAGGAGGCCCAGAGACGCACTGCGTATGCGTTGCTCCCAGTGGTTCACCAAATCCTTGAATTCGGATTTGCACAGATCATCAAATGTGCCCACATACACATCGGCAAAGGTGTGCTCACCGTACGGACGCTCCATCAATAGCGATGCCACATTACCCACATGCAGCTTCTTCTTTAGCCTCGAAGTCGTGCCAGCAAGTAGTGCGATGTACGGCACGAACACAAATGAGACCACAGCCACTTTTTTCACGGAGAAACACACTAGAGGCAGCTCAAAGAGAAGAGTCTTGCCATATCCAGTGGGGGCCTGGATCGCGAGCACACGTTCATCGGAAAGGTATACGGAAGAAGCAGCCTCCAGCTGCTCAGCACTCCTGAATTGGAACGCTTCTCCGTAGAGCTCCTGACCGGCGAGGCTGAGGTCTGTGATCCTACGAAACTGCGGGACAAATGGCCTCTTTTCTACGAGCTGCGCCGCTTCAGCTCCACCGCTGCCCTCTTCGGCTAAATCGGCCCATTTGATGTATTGCTCGCTTAACACTCGCTGCATGCCATGAGCCGTGGACGCAGAAACTCCTTCAAAGGAAAACTTATCCACTCCATATACCTGCAGTCCCGTTTGCATTGAATGGCCGGCAGAAAGCTCGCGGACGGCCTCCCACAACGCTCCTTTCATTGCTTGGCCGTCATCCACATATTTACGCACCAACCCAATCATTCCCTGCCGTAATTCCCTAAAACTAAGCCTGTCGTAAAACGTCTTGGGGAATTGGCTGACCCAGTAGGAAAACCGGTCGCGACTAATCATTCTGCCGGCCTCCACGTCCAGAAACAGGTATTGGGAAAGAACCATCTGAGAGAGCACTTTCCTATCCATCTTGCCGCTACCCTCTATGTAGCACCACTCACTTTCCAGGTCAACTTTGGTGTCGCTCCGTGGCGGTTCCATTCTGTCATAATCCGTACCCAGGAGGTACTTCTGTAACGGCCTCAGCACCATGATAAAATACAACAGATACCGCGATGTCTTCCTATCCAACCACTTTACCAAGCTTATCACCTTTTGGTTTTTGCAGTATGAGGTGTACAGCTGCAGACAACGCTTTTGAGGGTCAACAAACACGTTCCTCCTTTTTCCCGCAAACGCCAGAATATTAAGCTCAGGAAAACGATACGGAGTTGCAATGGCAAACCATATCATCCACATGAGATGCACGGTAATCTTTTGAATAGCATCGAGGACATCAATCCTCTCAATTTCTTCAACAGAATCTCGTCTTTTGATTGGAGATATTTGATCCTTCAAATCCGTAGGAAACAGTTGCGTGAACGAGAAATGCGGGTTTTGTAGGTCTTCTCCAGATGGGGCCCTTCCCCTTCCAACTAGGATCTTGCCAACTTCTTCAACGCCCGGCATGCGATACACTTTGTTGATTGCTGCCAAGTGCTCATCAAATTTGTCTTTAGCGTCATTGTAGAAGCTCCTGATATAAGTGCGGTTGAACACTTTACCACACACCAGCGCAGCATCTGGTTCGATATACTCAACTTCCAAGCGTTGAACTACTCTTTCTTCCTGTTTTAAGCTCCGATAGACTCTTTGCAGGGTCGTCCAAGTTTCACACGGAGTTTCGGAGTACAGCAACTTTTCAAGACAGTCATCGCCAGCACGTTCAGAAAAAACCGTAAACTTGATCCATGATTTTAGCGCCACTACTTTTCTAAGTACCAGGCTAACTGTCTCGAGCTCCATGTTGCCCTCCGTGTATGCTCCCAGTTTGTAAGGCAACAACCGCACAAGAAGAAAAAGAAAATCTGAGGCTGCAAGGTCCCGAAGCAAGTGGATAAAGATAGAGCGCAGATGATGTGCCTTTTCCGGAACCTTGTGCTTCTTGCCGAGATTCTCCATGAGGAGGGACGGTGACACATTAGGCTTATTCAGAACAGCAGCTGAAACTGAAAGCTCGTCCACATGAATGAGGAAATATAATACAGGCGCCAAATCGTGACAGTAGTTTTCAATGGTCTTTGCTTCAAGCTTTGCTAGCGCTGGTATACCCGAGGGGCCCTGTATAATCTTCCGGTTTTGAGCAGCGTTTCGTCGTGACAATAGCGGAACAACTCGTCCATCTCCGTTCTGTACAGGTTTCTGTCGGCGGCAAACTTTCTGAAAAGCTCATGGTCCGATTCCTCAAAGTTCTATGACATCCACCCCCATGAGCTTGAAGATACAGGAGTTCTCCTTGGCCACAAAAGCAGTTGCAGTCTCCAAGCCAGAGTCATCCACAGAAATCTCGTTGTGCTTGAGATAAAGGTATTTTCTGACGTTGCAATAAAACGTGATGGGAATCACACGCATCTTTTCCGCGTTACGAGCACCCCTGGCGTTTGTTTTGGGGTTAATGGCCTTTGTGTAGTCTCCATCTTCGTAAAATTCTCTTTCCTCAGTGTCAACAAGTTCAAACAGCAGACTGGAGGTCGAGGGAAAGAGATCCTGCTCGCTGTCACGGTAGCACAGGAGATCGCAAGGCGATGCCGCTATGATTTTCGCTTTTTCTTCGTAAGTGGGCTTGAGTGACAAGAGATTAGGAACCACGATTTTGCGGGCGCCATCACCAGAAGTGCGCACCAGAAACTTGTCAATAATACAGTACCTGTCGGATATTTCTTCCATCTGGGTGGGGTGGTAGCTGATGATATGAAAGTGGGAACGGCGTGTGGCTACGAAATGGTTTTCATCGAAACAGGCGTCTTATACCCAAATACTGGTAGCGATCTACGTTTCAAACGGTCTTCACAATTGTCGCTCGACGTTTTCAGAGTAGGCCGCTAGGCCCACTTTGCCTCCTGAAACGCTTCTCGTCTATCGAAGGCCTATCTGTAGAATCTGAAACGTTTCTGATACATCAAACTATGGCACGACATGGGTGCGAAACCCTAACAGGATGAATAGTGACTGTTAGTGTGGTTACTAGTAAGCACTCGAACAGTGGCTATATGAGCAGGTTCAATTAGCGGCTCATGGTATTACTTAAATATTGTGGGGTAGGGTTAAAACTGTTCTCATAAATAATAAGGGGCTTGAAGGGGGAAGTCACATGACCCATCACATGCCATAGCTTATCACATGCTTTGCACATGACATGCCCATCACATGCCCATCACATGCCCATCACCTTACAACGCTATGCGAAGGTTGGCGAAAAACAGTCCTAATTCTATCCAACCTTCGCAATCCAACCTTCGAAATCTCGTACAAAGCAACCGCCAACCTTGGAAATTTCGTACAGCGCTACTGCCAACCTTCGAAGCAGCGACTTGGTAGTTGTGTACGAAATTTCGAAGGTTGGCAAATTCAACTTCCAAGGTTGGCGATTTACATAGTTAAGAACCGTTCGAGGGTTGGCATACCGTTGTACGAAACCCATAGTTAACAGCCCAATTTCGAAGGTTTTACCCAATCCGCCTATTATGTTCGCAATTTTTGGTTGAGTGAGTATGACATCTGCTGCCAGATGTCACGATATCACTGGATTCGTTGATGTGAGCGCCTATGGTGGCCTGAGCCAAGGCCACAGCGTCATTTGAACCAACGCCAGAAGATAGTTGTTGGGAATGATGTGAATAAACTGATGGTGATGTGCGTCTAATCGCATAATCAGCGTCAGTAAATATGTGACACAGTGGTACGGAATGATAGTACACAACCGAGGCCATACAAATAGAGCTACAAGCTAAGACAAACCGAAGAGAACGACTATTGTCCAATGGGATTGGCCATTGATAAGTTATCGGTAGTGTACGGCATTGAAGCCGTAATCCTTGGGTAATAGAATGATCTAGAACTGGTGATTAATAAATATGTTGACCAGAGTCACCGAGTGAGAATTGTATAAATACCAGGCTTTTGTTCAGGTAACTGAACCAACTCTAATGCCTAAAATAATCACGGAGAGATAAGTAGAATTCCCTAGATCCAAGTTACTCATCTTACAATGACTATGTCCGACTTAGTGTGTGCG